TGTCGAAACGTTTCATGATATTTTAACCAGTGTAATTTTGAAGTTAAAATGCCATCACAATGACATAAATTGCTTCGAACAGGGGGTATTATCAAAGACTATGCGTAATTATTCAATATAATATTATTGTATTTCACGTTTTTGCAACTCTCTGTCCACTGAACACATCGATAACATTCTAACTTAATGGTTTTGTCATTTCGTTTCAGGCCAGGGAGCTCAATAGCGGTTTTAACTATTGAGTTAATACACCATAGTTGGATACCATTCCTGTTTAGGTTAGTATATCATAGTTGTAGATTATAAAGGTTTAAAATTGTGCTCTTTACATGCAAATAAATCGTACGTGTATAATTGCTTGCTTGGAAATTGGCATAATGATTTATCAAGCGTGTTTGAGTTTGTCTGATGATTGTGACCCTTGATACAGCAGATATCATGATGAGACAATTCGGTACAAACTATATGATCTGAGAATGTTACTAGTTACTAGAAGTGACAACAGCCAAATCTTACAATTTTAGTTTATTGGACTAAAGTTTAAATTATGATTCTGAAAAGTGTTACATATAGATTTTAATTGAGTTTGATCAGAAAAGTAAAAATAAATAATTATAACCTCGTAAAACATAGTTTATTTTTATTTCTATTCTGTTTTTTTACTATGGCGTTTTCTTAAATTTCAGTGTTTCGAGTATTGTAGCTCGTCTTCAGCTACGGACAACATGGTTAGATATGGTGTGCAACCTAGGTTTTTGGAGGTAGTTCACACGGAGCAAAATTTTCGCGTTTTCGGGTTGGGCTCGCGTGTAATTTAGTTTTGGCAGCCTGTGGACTACCTTGTTAGGGCCACCTAGGTTGTACTTGGCTAAGCTGCCATATCATGTCCACCCAGCCTCTCTTGAAACAAATGGGGGTAAGTTAAGAGTAATTTTCATTTCACAATCGTCAGAAACTTGTTCACTTCTACCTAGTTGATTTAGAAAAGGTGTTTGAGTTTACTTTGATACCCTTGATTCAGTAGTCTAGTATTTTAATCAATGAAAAGTAAATCCCACTTTCTCCAGCCAATATGACCAACAAAAGTCGTGTCTCAAATGGTATAGCTATTCAAATCTATACATAATCATTTTGTGCACAATTGTTCAATGAATTTAATTGGTTGAGAATCGATTTATATCATTGATGGAAACACTGACTTGAAGGATCAAGGGTAAGATAAGAAAAGCTCATTCACCTTTATTTGATCAAGATAGGCATAATCAGAAAAATTAAGTTTGTTATGAGGAGTAATTTTCCCTCGAAAGCAGGGAATCAGGATTGTTTTTCTTCTTAAAACATAGACCAAGTATGGGGATCAGTTCTTGATTATCTTGAAAAATGGCGATGTAGAAACATCCAAATTTTTCTGAGTCGGCTCTGTCAAAACTAGGTAGAAATGAACAAGTTTCAGACTAATACCTGATAACAAAAACCCGCGCACTATCTACACTACAATACGGTCATACTGTTGAGAGGATTTGAATAAGCGAATCCATAGAAATAAATGCAACAAAATATGTAAAAGCAGACTGTCAATATTGATTGGATAACCTCTAGTGAGAAACTCCCAAAACTTTGTCGATGGGAATAACGTGCACCCATAATTCGTCCAACCTATTTCAGGGTTGAAAACTGTATATCATACACGCAAATATACAGTTAATATTTTGTGATGAAATAAATAACGTAAAAATATCTATTTCAGGTGTATACAAATAGAGCTTCATTATATGAGAATAAAGTGCTTATGGTGTGGCATGGAAGCTCCTCGAGTAAGTTTCACATTATTATATTTTACCAATTCTGCATGTTCTGACATATTATGCATAAAGTCTAATGGTTCAAATATTACTAGGGAGCCTTGGTGGCTCAGTGTGCTACAGGCCTTGCGTCTGAAAGATCTCTCGACATTTGGAAGTCGAAAAAAGAAGGCTAATACTATGGTCCTGGCATTATTAACTTCGTTGCACTGCTACTCAATCAGAATAGATAAACGTAATGCGCCTTTTAACTCATTTTAATTTCAAATTTGACTGACAAACATATTATGATAATAGGGAATGCAACCTTGATGGGCGTAACGCAAAAGACAACGATAACTCTCTTTCTGCTGACATCGTGTCATTATTTCGAAGTTAATGGTGGTCGTGGTTTCTAATTAAGGATAGTGACCTTGTCATCGTTCCCGTTTCAGTCAACCTAATCATAAATTTCAAGAGGTTGGGACACGGATCAGTTGGTTAAAAAGATCCTAGGTGAACCTAAGTTGTTAAAATGGTTGTTCGTTCTTAGCAGCACCTTATCTTATCTAAATTTCCCCTTTTACTGATTTTGACAACTCGGTATACCTTGAAGAGTTGACTGTTTTAGGCACCTCTGAATTAAGAGTGGGTGATATTACATTCTTATTACATATCTTTCGGGTGATATTACATTCTTATTACATATCTTTCTGTATACAATTTTAAAACATTTCATCCAAAATCTAAATCCTATTTATGTTTATCAACCAAACATTTGGCTGCTTTTGTGTTTTTTATACAGTTCAAAATTGCTCTTTGAATGGAGATACTCTCGAAATTTCTAGATCTTAGCAAACATCTTTTTCGTCAACCAATGAAATTGTAAAATCAATTTGTTAACATAATAAACTCAAAGATAGGTTCCCTTATTTTCATATATGAAAATGAAAATGCTAATACTAATACTTATACTTGAATAGAAAGTATAGGTGTACTAATGACTCGTAAAAATACCAGTTTGTCTCACATCTCCATAATCAATTCATAATTAGCTAATTGAGAAGATTAAGAATACGCCATAATTCACTAGAAACACCAATTAATCAAATAGTTTGCTTAATTTGACACTAAAAAATAAGGAATTCCATCTTTAAGCTATGTGAACTTAAGTTCCATACCAAGTTGCAAAGTGTGATCAGGGTGATAATTCAGTGTGAAAGGGAATATGAAATTCCTCACCATTGTCTGTCTGTCTGCCAATCAATTAGGACTCGTTGTAAAGTTGCTGCTTATAATTTAATGCTCAAACAGATGCTGATTTTTAAAGCTGAAATAGCTACTGATTTTTTAAGTTTTCAAACGGTTAGGCTTGAAACAATAATTGTCCTTGATACTCAAATCAGTCCGGTCCAAGACTTGAACAGGGCCCCGTTTTGTTGAAACATTGCTGATGAAATTTGCTGCCGTGTTGGGGATCGCTCGTTGTTTGTACGATTTGGTTCGTTACTATTTTGGTTTGATTCAATTTCAGTTTAGAAAGGGTAAATCGTCTGGTAATTTACCTACCCACTATAGCACTGCCACAATAGGAGTGTTCTGGGGTCATGGCCTGTATGACTCTACAGATCCTCCTATTCACAGATGAAGAACAGATGAAGCGGCGCGCGCCAACAGATGAAGGACAGATGAAGGACAGATGAAGAACAGATGAAGAACAGATGAAGAGGAACAGATGAAGAAGTAGGGCGATTACTCCGCTCATTTTTGGTAAGTTGATCTTGAAATTTTTTAGACAGACTGCTGCTCATTTAGTTTGAGTTTTGGAATCCTGGCGTCATTTGCTATCCATATAACAAATGATAATAAATGGGTTCTAATTTGTATTGGAATGGACTTGCCTCAGCTTCTCCACCAACTTTGAATAAGTTGATTTTAGGCTTATTCAACATTCCGAGGACAAACTGTAGCTCTATCAGCAACAAATTATAATTGACATACAATTCGTACAGATGAAAAAGTATCCGCAATTCCTTAAACCATTTTTGTAGGAAGATCTCAAGTTTTAAACATTTTGAGGACTGTACTTCATTCATTAGATGACCAAGGAACAGCATGTTGACAAGATCTTGTTGAACCCAAGTGCTTACTCTTGTAAAAATAATAGTTTTGAATTTGTGTATTTTCACATGGATCCATATCGAGACTGCTGATGGTATCTGATTTTCACAAAATCTGGAAGGTTTGATTTGATTGTTTTGATGACTTGTATAGAAGTTCGATTGCCGCTTGAAAGGCAGGTCGTGTTTACTACTTTCATAACATCTGATGGTCCTATTCGTCTGACTCCACTGCTCCCGATTTTGTCATGAAATATATTTAGTAAACGAAGTTGTTTTGCCTATGCAAATTTTTATTTCTTGTAATTTCTCTATGACTTATCCAAACTCACACTTTTTAAATTTTTATGCATTATGCTTGCCTTTTAAATGCAGCCTTTTAAATGCAGCCTTTTAGTTTTAAATCTGATTTCTGTCGCTATCAGTTTCTACCTTTTGTTGCGTTAACTGTTATCTGCGGTGGCTCAGTGAATTAGACGCTTTCTAGCTAATCTGAAATCCAGATCCAGACAGTTTGAAGCTCTTAATTCCTTGGACAGGTTTGAGGTTCGATCGAAGTAATTGAACATATAAGACCTAAAATCTAGCAGCGCAGTTGGGGAGGGGGTGCGGGAGCTGGACATCCCCTCCGTCCTTCAGCCTCGACAGTAATTGCCCTGATTAAGTCAGTCTAAGCCCTATTTGTACCTATGTTTTGTACTCTGTGAGGCTGGCCCAGCCCCTGTAGCTACTAGTTGGTTAAGCTGCTAAAATATTGACTTTGTTAATGATTTGCTTCGTGCAGTTTTACACTAAAAGGTATAGATTCTATATCCGTCAGATGACGTAGTCTTAGAGGTCCCATGAGATGCGCACCCAGCCTCCTACTTCATTAGCACGCCAGCTTCGAGAGGGAAAGCATCGAAAATTTTACAGCACTGAGTTCTCTCAGTAACTGAATATTTTCTATCGGTTTTGGGGCATAACTTTTAAGAAAGTTTTCCGAGGCTTTCCCGCATCGCTTTTTAGCGTCTACAATTGGAATTTATTAATATTTCAAGTGTTGAACTTGTTTTTACTTATCTTTCGAAAGCGAAAGTACATTTTACTAACAATAGAAATGGCGGAAATCCCCATTAACTCTTCAGAGAAGAACGTCACTATTGACGGAGAATTCGATTTATCTTCAATTCTTTTTGACAAAAAGTTGTCCTCTACTAGTAAATCCATTAAAAAGGGTCAAGAAAAACGGAAAAGAACTGCAAATAAAGCGGTCAAAGAGTTGAATCACACTCAAACTTCGACATCTTGTCCTGACCCAAATTCTAAAATGGACTCGTCCACTTCTACCAGTATAGATGACACGACGGTGGTGTTGGCTGAGACCAACTCAAAACTAGACAGTAACACGAAAGATAATGAAACCGTTTCTATGGGGCTTTTCAAAAGTGAAATGCTGAAGATTCGTACTGAATTAAAAGATATCATTATAGACTCAATCCATGACTCACGTAAAGTTGAAAGAACTAGGCCTAGAGAAGTCAATATTGATGAATATTATGCTTCAACTTCAGCTGATCAGCATACCCATGGTCATGGAGTCAAACGTAAACACATTACTGACCCAGTTAACAGTGTTATACATGATCTATCTTCCTCTGATGACGACATCCAATTCACCCAAAACAGGTACAAAATACCAAAGTTATCACATCTGTACAAAGAAGATGGATCAGTCAATAGTGATAATGTGATATGTCAAATTGATGAACTCTTACAGGACAAACAGACATCTGATAAAGATTCAGACTTTGAAGAAAGTTTAGAACAGGAATACAATTAAAAGAGAA